AACAAATCAATGTACAAAGAAATGCAAGTTCCACTGCTAAAGAAGTACGTGAACATTTCAAAAACTACTTTATGTCCACAGAAGGAGAACTGACATGGCAATATCAATACATTTAAGTTGTATTTAAATAATTAAATAATTTTTTAATAAAAAGTATTCAATTTTTTAAAGTTTTTTTTTTTTTTAAATTGGAATATTATTATATTAAATAATATTTTAATAATATTCTATATTATGAGGGGATTGTCATTATATTAATAATTTTATACATGGGAACCTTAAAAGTATAATAATTATAATAATTGTTTATTGTATAATAATTATTTTGGTGTCAAAAGTAATTACTAAATTTCGCTTAAACATTAAAAATTATTGTACAAATCTGACTAAATTGTAATAAAAGATTTAAACATGAGTAAATGGTAAAATTTATACCAATAAAAAAATAGTTTATTCTTTCTCTTGAAAAATAACAATTTTTGACTTGTGCCCCTTATCACTAAAACCGTCCGATTGTTCTCACGGTTATTCAAAACTATAGCAATCTATTATTAGGTTATGAGCGTAATAATATTATATAATGACGTAGACTTAAAGATATGTAGACTAAAATAAACTTAATCAATGGAAATTGGAAAGCATAACATAATACTATTACATTAGTTAAATCTTTATTGTAACATGTAAAATTAAATGCATAATGGAAAAAGCTCAAGAAGATGATTTATTCAATAAAACCATTTTGCATTTCTATATTCTATCTACTATTTTATTCTTACATTAAATGGAATTTATATATATATATATACATTAATATATATATGATAAATGTAATACCACAGACTATATGAAAACAGATAGCTCACTCGGCCGAAAACAATGGGAAAAAAAATAAGATCCTCTGATTGGGTGCGACCAAATCAGTGTAGCTACGTGGGTTTAAATAAATTATTGTTCAGATGTTATACAATATTATTGTATATTTGTATGTACCGATTGTAATTAGTAAGACGTAAGTTAATGACATGTGAAACTGTGAAAGACGATAGTTAAAAGTTTTTATTATTTATTAGTTTATTAGTTAACACAAGCTTTTAACACAGATAGACAGATAGTCTGTATTTTTAACTTTACTTTATAAATTTAAATTTACATTAAAACTTTTTTAGTCTTTTAGTATTAACCACAGACCATATTATTTTATAATATAGTTAATATTTAAAGTTACATGCAATACATTTATGAGTACTGTAGACTGTAAACATGATGATGATATCATACTTTACATAAAAAAAATATTTATTTCAATATTTAGACATTTTCCATGCTTAAGGAAAACAAAGGTAAGTACATATTAAAACATAAAAATGATATATATACTAATTTGGTAATATATAAGTAAATCTATAATAAGTATTTATAGGTAGGTAATCTAAATAATTACACAGTACATAATTTATTCCTAACTTAAATATGTTTTATTTACAACATAGAGACACATATAAAGACTTATAATACAATTTACAAAAGTAATAACTAATTAATGTTTAATTTATAATTTAGTTACAGGTATTCAAACATAAATGGAGCAATTGTAGTATCATACAATTCAATTAGTATAATTAGCACATATTAAATTCTAATAAAAAAAGGTATTTATTAAATTACAATTATACATCTAAATATTTATAAAATTAATACAATTACAAAATATTGCTTTACAAATGCTGCAAAATTGCTAACTTTCTGTTTTTGATTTTTTTTTCAGATACCAAATGTCTATTTAAAAATTTAATTGAAGCATAAATTCTAAAACGCAAAAAAAAATTTAGTAAGTAATCTTTATCAAAGTTGGGACATGGATGTTCATAATCAATATTAAGCATTCTCATTTTAAGTTTATCGCCTATTCCTTTTTCAACAGACAAAATAGGAAAACTATTTATAAATTCAGATTCTAAGCTATAAACATAATTGTAAAAATTTTCATGGGGCATATTTAAATTTCCAAACGTTGATTTTTCAGCATTTTCATACGCTTTAAAAAAGCATAACAAAAATGAAGGATCTAAATTTTTTTGGGTTCTTGCATACTCTAAACATATTTCACATGAGTGTTTGGTTAGACATTTACTCATAATATATCCACAAACATAAATGAATGCATTTTGTTCAGGAATTTCTAAATTTCTATAATCAACATGTCCTATAGAAAGTGGACACGTTTTTTTAAATTGAAAGGGTGTTTTATCAGCAAATAGGGTGCTAATGTCTAAGTCTGAATCAGTGGGCATTTGAGTTAAAATTGCATCCAAATCATTTATGCAATTTGCTTTTTCTGAGTGTAGAAAATAATTAAGTAAAAAAATTTTTTTAAATGCAAACAAAAATTGATAAGGAGTTGGATTAGTGTTATTGCCATTTTGTTGTCTAATTGTACAAAAAAGATTCTCAATAGTATCCTGGTTTAATCTGGCAGTGTATAAAACATAATTTTCTTGTTGGTTTAATGGTCTTGTTGATTTTAAGTCTTTCCAAAGTAACAGCAAGCCAGTTATGGAGATCAACCAACCATTAATAAATTTCATCCGGTTAGTAACATCAGTTTGTTCTTTTTTGCTAATAATAATTAAATTTGTAAAAAAATTATGCATATATTTTAAATGGTCTTCTTGTTCTTTTGTTTGTTTAAAGGGTCTATTGAAATTTTTTGAAGTTGGCCTTCTTGAAGAATTGAAGATATCAAAAAGTTTGTCCATATTTTCAATAAAATCTATTGTTGCCTTTGAAGAAGACTCCAATTTATTACTAACAAGGTAAGTCTCCATGCCGGCTGCTACACTTTGACTAAACACTTGCGCAGCCAAAAAAACTTTCATTTTCTCAAATGGTCCAGGAAAAATATGAGAATGTGTTAATTTTGGGGCTGTTCTTAAATTACATTTACTGTCTTGTTCAAAAAATGATATTAAGTGTTTTTTTTCAATTAAGTTATTATTAAATTTAAAATTGTGTTGAAAAAACATATTTCTTGTTGATTTTAATAAATGGGGAGGGTCAAATATATATATTATTTTTTTTTCACCAACTTTAAAAAAAGGCCTGGCTGGGGTAACATTAACATTTTTACTGAAACTAACAAAGTTAGAACCCATATCAGTAATAAAAGCTTTTACATTTAATCCTATATCAAAAAGTTTGCGAATAGTTTCAAAAATAATATCCTGCAAGTCATATCCGGTACAACTACTTGATACTAAAAAGTATGCAATTGGTTGTTTCCAGTTCACATTTATTCCTCTAACCATTAGAACAAATGCATACTTGGCAGGAGTATAAGTCTTTGTCTTATTTGTTTGATGAAACCCTATAATTTCATCTTTGTTTAACATATAATAGAGGTTTGATTTTAAGGCCATTTCATCTGCACAGAGAACACATTCTTTAGCTTCGTCAGTAAAATATTTAATTTTATACTTAATAATATTAAAAAAAAATTCATTCAAGCCTGGTATCATTTCAAATTTATGAGTTAACCGTTTTAAAGTAGAAATTGATGGTAGTGAAAGAGTATTTAATAAAAGTTTATAGACTCTAGGTCCTAAAAAATAAATATTTAATGCTAATTGTTTAATTTCATTATTATATCTATAACCTTCTTTTTGTTTTTTTTTTAAATTCATTTGGGATTTGACAATTGTAAATAATCCAGGTGATAAATATTTTTCACCTAATTTAAAAAAATTTTCAACTGTATCATAGTTAGCTAATTGTTGACTTAGACTTACTACAGTCTTCTTTAAATTTTTTATTTCTTGTTTTCCAGATTTAATCTCCGTGACTAGTTTTTGTTTCCTTGGTGTATTTGCCGATAAGTATCCAGGTGTTTGATTTGAAGAATCAGTAGTTGTGATTGAGCTACAAGATTCATTTGAAGCATCAGAAGTATTCATGGATCCACTAAAATGACCTCTTAATCCTTCAGTGCCTGGAATTGAACTACTACAGCTACTCTGGTCTTTTGAATTATCATCAAAATACTGTGGATCTACATCGGTTTTTGACTGTAATTTGGCCAATTTAGTTCTTTCAAACATTATTTCATCTAAAAATTAAATTCAAAAAAACGTAACTAAAATTAAAATTAAATTATTAAACCAAAAATTACTTTATTAAGATCCAAATTTGTTTTTCAAATTATTTGTATAAATTTTAAACATGTTTTAATAATTTTATTATTTACTTACCATTAAATATTGTTGGAATAGCATTGAAAACTAGTCGGTTTTTTGTTGTGGAGTTCAAAAACATTGAATCTACAAAGTGATCCCCACATACTTTATAGCTATTTTTTTTTGATAGTTCTTCAGTCAAATTTTCTGTACCACAATTTTTTGTCCATAATGCTAGACGATCGTCTTTTGGATATTGGAAGAAACTTATATTCCTAGTACTTGCTTTACTTTTGCAAAATTGTACAGAGCAACGCATTCCTGTTTTTTTACTATCCATTTTAAAATTAAGAAGTACAACTAAATTGTAAACTGAAAATTAAGTAAACTACACACTTGGTCAGTGGTCAACTAATAAGTCACATGGAAGTCGTGCAAACAGCAACTAAAGGCCTAGATAACCTATTTTCTAAGGGATGTAAAAGGTCAGATCCTATAGAATAGAAGGGTAGTTAGTATGAATTTCAATGTTGGCGGCAGGTAGCAATCGCGTCATTTTTTTGTGATGGACCAAACGAAATGTTATGCCCTCACTGTGGTCACACTGATTTGGTCGCGGTGATAATATTCATAGTTTTTGTTTACATCCCGAGTGAGCTATCTGTTTTCATATAGTCTGTGGTAATACCAAGCAATTAATTATGATAACTGATAAGGTAATAATAGTAGTAATAATAATATAATAATTTTATTATTAGGTACCTACTACTATTATTAGTTTTTCCATTAGGCATAGTATTTAATTTTAAAACAACTGTAAGTCAGTAACTACATTTCCAAGTAACTTACCAATGCATTAGGTACTGTACCCACAGTCTTCACACATTCAGAAATACCAGTCATGAATTTCAGTGAATCGAAAAACTCCCAAGAGCTTTTCACGATCTCATCTGCACCTGCTCCACTCTTTTTATTTTTTATTTTTCGTAGTTCACTATTCATTTGGCACCGAAGATTGTGTAACTTTCTTCCAACTTCTGCAGAAGTTATTTCCAATTTTTGTGCAATTATTTCCATACATTTTGCTTTTACATGGCTGTCTCTGTATTCCTGCAGTGTACAATTCTACAGTGCAGGAGAAGATTCAAGAAGCTCAACTAGTTGATAGGTTTTTTGCTTGTCCCACACAACTGCAGCCATTGTACAAATAATTCAAAACAAAATATATATACAAAACAAAACAATATCGAAAACACTGGTGATCATTAATTCAATTATGTCCACGTGCTCTATTTGGTCTATTCAACTGAACAAATAGATCTAGACTGCTCTAGCTATAGTGTAGAATCTCCGTGTATATTGTAGATTTTCGTTTACTCTATTTAGTCTACCTAGACCATAGAGAGGCAACCGCTAGAGTGCTCTAGATCTTGTGTACCTACACTTCTAGACTGAATGTAGAGAGCTTTAACTAGAATAACTCTACGAGAAAAAAATCTACAGTGTACAGGCACCTTCATAGATGAAAAAAAAGGTGTCATTATTGTAATACATTGTTATCTTACTTAAGACGCCGCAAATGTAGGTCTTTGATTACTAAAAACAAATATATAGGTTCTACACTGATTCCAACACGTCGTAGTGTGTTGAATAAAATTATGAAAAAAAAAAATATTTACAATAATTTAATTTAAGGTAAAATTTTTAGTAAAAATTATAGTGAAATCATAGTCGTGCGCACAGGGGGTGCCGGGGGAACCTGGACCCTCCACCAAAAACGACAAGGGCCCTAATTATTAATTAAGTGTACATTTTAAATCTTAGTAAACGTTTAGGCTTGCATCTTATGGAACCAATATTGAAAATTATTTTAAAAGTAAGTTCAGGATTTCAGTCTCCTAAACTTGATCTATTAACAGCTATTAATTCTATTCAAGCACTTAAAAATTCATTAATATTTATGAGGAATGATACATTTTTTAAAAACATTTTTGAAGAAGTTACTACCAAATGTATTGATTTAGATATTAATATTTCTACGGTTAAAAGAAAGAAAGTGACTGTGAAAATAGATAATAATTATTCTAATCAATTTTTTTATGATTCCAAGTATGATGAACTCAGGTGTTCTGTATTTAATCCGTTATTGGATAATCTTGTAAATGGTTTAAGCATAAGATTCAATCAAGAGAACTTAGATTTGATTAGTGCTGTGGGAAATTTATTGAAGTTAGAATTAAATAACAGTTTTTCAAATATTTTATCTAAATTATTCAATATATCAATCGATGAACTGGTAACTGAAATTAAAATTCTCAAACATATGCCTGATGTACCAAGTGGTACATCCAGTGAATCTATTTATGTGTGGTTAGATTGGTTAAAAGAGAGTGGACGGTTAGACATTTTTAACAATATGTATTTAGTATTAAAAATGTTTACCATAATACCTACCAGTAACAAGTTGCACATGTGAAAGGGTATTTTCCAAATTAAGCATTGTAAAAAATAAAATTTAATATTTTGAAGCCTGTGTTTTGGGTATTGCATGCTGATGTTTCAAGAAACATTTGATACGTGTAAAATAAACGATTTATAATGTATTTTATAAATCTACTGTATTCATACTATTCTAAGGTACATTTGACTATGCATAACTTAGTCCATGTTCTATATTTAATATTTGATAATAACATTTAGTAAGTTATTTTTTAATGCAAAATATATGTTTTAATAATATTAAATTTATTATTTGATTTTAAATGTAAATCATGATTAATACTCAGTTTTAAATAACTATGATAGGTATAGTTCTTGCTCAACTCGTAGTAAAAGCGATTTGCCTTCTGGAAGGTATTGGTGCAATTGTCAATGGTGTGGTTTCTGATGGAGCATCAACTAACAGAAAACTTTGGGCTGAACTGGGAGTTAGTGGTCAAACGGGCAAAGTAAAAAAATTTTTTGAACATCCTCTGAAAAACAATAAAAAGGTGTACATGTTTTCTGATGCACCTCATCTACTAAAAAATGTCAGAAATAGGTTGTGAAACAAAAAGAGTATAAGAGTAAGTACTATTAAGAATAAAATAACTCAACACGAAACACATCAAACCTTTTGCATTTAAATGTAATATATTATAATTTATTTAGGAGTCACCAAAAAGCCTTTTATTAGACGGTCACATTATGAAGAAGTATATATGAATGATATAGCAAGAAATTCAAACTCTCCAACCAAAGTATGCCCTAAAATAACTCCAAGACATATAGCTCCAGACAATTTTGCTAAAATGAGTGTGAAACTAGCTACTCAAGTAACTAAACAAAATATTTATATTTTTCAGACATTATTGTAGAATTGTAGATGATAAATTATACAAATTTAACAAATTATATTGCAGATATTCAGTGATTCTATGGCTAAGGGTATTCAGTTGTATAGGGAATACATTAAGATTGATTCATTAAAAAAAGTTATAAAACGCAAAAATTTACTGAAAGATTAAATTTATTGTTTGATATTTTGAATCGAAAATATCCAGCTGAAGGGATTAAAAAAAATAGCAATGACTTTAAAGTAGGCAAGTTTAATATAAATGTAATTATAATTCATAATCAATCCTATAATTATGTTTCATAGGTAGGTCATAGAAGATACCATTGCATGGCTTGATTCTTGGGAAGATCAAGTTGACAAACATGGTATAACAGAAGATGAATTTTTAACACGATCAACAGCTGAGGGATTAAGAGTCACGATACAATCAACATTAGATCTTTGGAAATACCTTCTAGATGAATGTGGTTTTAAGTATATATTAACATACCTATAAAATGAATCTGGACCGTTTGGAAGTAAAAAAGAATATTTAACTACTCATATAATGAATAAATTTATAACATTTTTTTTTTTAATTACATGGCAATGTTTTGGTATTGTGAGGCAAGCAATAGGTCCGAATGATCACCCATGTACACCAACTTTCCTTCAAGTTTACAAAATGTTGGCTATCTATTCCATTCTGAAGCCTCCAAAAAGTGGAAATTGTTCAATTTTAAATTCGGAAACTCCCAAAATTACCATTACTGATTTAAAAACAATGTTTAATACTAATAGCATCACAGAAAAAGAAAAAAAAATTGAGAACTTGCGTAAAACATTACATAACTAGATACTTCATGAAGCATATAAACTGTAAGGTTTGTCAGAAAGCAATAGTTGGTAAGTATAATTTATATTGACATAGGTACCCTTTGAAACTGATCAATCTAAGTCTAAAATAAATAATAAAAGTTTCTAATTTTTCAGGCACAACAGATTTTTGTGATAGGCCGGAATCAGTACTGACAAATTTAAAATCAAGAGGGGCATTAACTCACCCAAACAAGATATTATTTTCTTTAATTACCGAAAAGGAAAAATCATTTTCTAAATTTTGTGACTACAGCGATGCTTTTAATTTGACGGTTGATGATTTCTTTGCACACACATTAAAAATCATGAAGTGGCCTTGTAGTCAACACAAGTGTGACATCTTAGCATCAATTTTGTCCTACTATGTTACTATGCGAATGCGGCAGTATACACAAGTAGTTAATAAAAATGTTGCAAAAGTGAATGCTAATAAGAAGAAATGCTCTGAACTTACAGTCTCATAAATATTAAAACTTGCATAGTATTAAAAAAAAATCATAAATATTAAATATTTAGATATTTTAATTTACCTATTGTTTTTTGTTTCCTGCTTATAATTTATTATCAAATTTCGAAAATGTATACTATCATTAACATTAAAATGAGTAATGTATTTGATTGGTAGAGTGCGCCAAGAACTGATACTGTACTTTTTTTGAGTTTATTAGGTTCCCTGTGATATTAGCAGGGCGTCAAAATGGGTTACCCGCAAAAAATTTTACTCGGGTTTTAACACGAAACCCGAAACCCGCAAAAAATTGGAGATGACCCGTTTGGGCGCAGTATAAATAATTTACCTGACAATTGTTACACGTTTGGGCGCATTTATAAAGACACCTTTGGGCACAATAGGTATTGCCACTAGTAATTGAAAATCGTGTGTAATCTAATCTAATTAGTACTTAATCGTTTGATCTGTAGACCATGTCTTAAACTTTTTAAAAATACCACATCAGATATAGCTATAGATATTTATCTACTACAGATAATATGTAATATTATATTGTTCTGTGTTCTCCGTTTGATAGTTTATGATCTTTGCAGTGTATTGAGCTCTCGTGTGTGGACAACGTGTTTTAACATTTAACACTATTATAGTAAAGTTACGTGTTTTAGTATTTTTTTATTTGGATAGACAGTATGGAATTGAAAATCGATGACAAATTTGAAACTCGAAGAGGTAATTATGTGTTATAATTGATGGCTATAAATTTAGCAAAAGTAGGGAAATGAATGACGAAAATATTTATTTTAGATGTACTGATCATAATTGTAAATCAAGTGTAGTAATTTGTAAAAATATTAAGCAAATAATTTCGGTTAATAATGAGCACAATCATCCACCTATTTCGAACAGTATTATTAATCGTCAAAAATTAACATCTACATTAAAAAGCATTTAAAAGCTACTTCAGATATTTTTAATAGACCTAATAAAATTATACGTCAAACATTACAGACGACTGTTGATATACCTCATTCAGATGAATTCACACAATGAAACCTACATAAAAATAAAGGGGAAGAGGTGTTTAAAAAAGTGTACAAATATCTAAGGGAATACTTTGACCAGTTTCGAGATATAAATTTTCGAAATGGGTACACCCGACCGTGTGCCCGGTAGACACATAATACAGCCTGCCGCGGCTGATTTAGTAGGTAATATAGTTTTTTTAATTTTAGATACCTACATTCGCACGGATTAGTCTGGGTTTTTTTCACCTTTATATTGTGGTGTGTATTAACAATATTAATTGAACCTGATAATTCAGTGGTCTTATCGCGTTACCTATATTTATATGTTTTATTATTTGACTAGCAAAGTAGGTACAATCATTTATATTATGTATAAAAAATTATTACAATGGTGTATATGCAGGTATAATATAATTTTAATAATGAAAAACATGTGATATCTGGTTTGCATCGTTGCCATAGCCGACCGATAGGTATTTGATATAAATTTACCAATTTTAAAGATTCTAGTTTGAGTTTTTATTTCAATAATAATTTTCAGAAAAAGATATTATTATTTTACCGAGTTTTTAACTATGGATCCACGTTTCGGTGAATCGAACAAGCAGCCCGGAGCAGATCGGAGCTGCAATCCCCCTATGGCAAACACTAAGCTGGATAGCGAACTTTTCAACCACATGACCGAGCACCAGGCCAGTTTTCGGGAGTATCCGTGCGCCGACCGGACGCAGCCCGTAGTGCAGTGCGTTCACGAGATCGTGGGTAACTGTCAGGCACTCATGTCGAATGTGACGTCTCAACGTCATGACTACAGGGCCAAGTATCTAAGGTTAAAGCGGGCCACCGGCCCTAAGGATACGATAGGCGCCATTCTGTCACAGGACCCAACATTTATGATGGACAAAGGTACGGAGACCTGTTCAAGTCACCAGCAGTGGGAACCACAGTTCCGTGACCCGTTGATAGAGGAACAACCCCCGACCAACGAAAAGAGAAACGATGACAAGTCCGCTGGGTTGGAGGCTGGCCCATTGTAAGATAACAGCGAATGGCAATATTGCAATTTGTGGAGATTACAGCATGGCTTCTGGTAGATATTATCTAAAGTATTATAAAATATGTAAATGCATGAAATTCCTTAAATGAAATTATAAGGATGAAAAATAATTAAAAATATAATTTTTTAATAAAAACGTTGTTTTATAAGGGACTTGAAACTATGTAAAAAAATATCTTCAAAAAAATTTACACTTTTTGAAATAATGAGTGTTGTTTGATAAAAGAATCACCCAGTATATATATACATTATACCTATATACGGGCAATCGTTTACAGATGTCGATGAGTTTCGTTAATCCCTTTCTTTAGCACTGTGGTATCACCCGTATTGGATAATACGCGGTAAACCAACTTTATACCTTACCATCGTACGCTCTAGGCTAATGACTGTCTCTAGAATAAATTCAGATTAGCACTGTTAACGTTTGAGGTACGATGGTAGCGTTTTGTCAGTTCTTCGTTCGTTTCCTAAATTGGAATGACTATTAGGACGCCACAACCAGAGCACTGTTCAGTTTGTAATAAACCTCATTGACTATAGGTGTGTGGGTCTGAGCACTGTTCCAATATTAAAGGTAAGAACGAAGAAGACTTTGAAATAAAACTCAACTCGGGTTTTTAGGTCGGAAACACTTTTATTATATTTAAATAACAAACACAAAATTATACTTGGCGAATTCAGATCGCTTAGCCCGTACTCCGATCGACGTTTCACACGCACGACCACAGTACCTACGTTCTCGCCGATTCACTCAGCGACAACGGGACTCTCCCTTGTGCCTGAGCGTGCGGCGGTGTTATATAGTAATCTTATCGCTGTCTCAGCACATATGCTTCACTGACCTATGTCAATAGTTTACAATTTAAAATGTTCCCACCTCTATTACATATATGAAATAATATTTTGACGAATATACGACAGTCCCCATTGTTTTTTGAAAAAAAATGCCCTCATTTTTAATGATGTTTCTACATACAAATGTCTTATTACTACATTAAATACTAATCTACATTTACACTATATTACTGTCTCGGCTTATTCGCGTCGTTGACTATAAAATTATGCTTAAATGTTAATTTTAATTCTATTATTTTAATAATTTATTTTTTAACGCGTTGTTAGGGGAGAGAGACGAAAAGAAGAAAAAAAATATATATATATATTACAAACATAATGAAAATATTAATTTAAACATTTATACAACTGAAAGCATCACAAGTGCAACCCGAATACATAAAAATAAAATTAAAATAAAATCTAATGACAATACAACTATTGCACCAAAATCGAAGTCAAAATTAAAAATATATATCACAAGCAATGATATACCTACTAACACAGTATAAAATAAATCCTACAGACCGCTTAGGCAGCGAAAAACATTTAATGCTAGAAACCCAGATAGTAGACTATTCTAACGAAGTAATCTTATACAATTATTCCAACGTATATAGTAATATTCCAAAAGGAATGACAATAGCCACAATTCACGAATTAAACATGCTAAATAATTAACACAAATTACAACAAATTAAATTTAAAACAGACAAATCGATATTTCAACCGCCGTAATTATTTTATACTGTATAAAATTAACTCGAAATATGAATACAAAAAAAATCTCTACCTGTGGCAATATTATGTGAGGATCTAGAAACAATTAGAAACATATAATTCATAAATACATATTAATGATTAATAATTTTTTTTATAATATAAATATAAATTGAGTTGTATTTTATACTGTATTATAATGTATGAAATTTTTACTCAGAATATAGATACAAAAATTTATGTGAATACATATAAGGTTATAATAATTTATTGATTGGCTCTTTGTGGAAAATGTTTTCTTAGAGATTTTTCTCAGTTTGAAGTATAATATTTTTATTTCGACAAATAGCAGTAAATGATTGTTGATCTTCTACGGCATTTTATTCTTCGATTCTGTGGTAGTTAATTCTTCTTCTCTTTTTGTATTTCATAAGGTAAGTAGTATTTATTATCTTGCTTGTTTTAGTTTTTCTTCTTATAATCTGTATATACAGGGTGTTCCAAATTTCATGTGACAGCAGATTTCAGCATGATATATTTAAATTAGGGGAAAATGACCCATGTGAAAACTGTTTTGAATCATATAATCTAAATTAATTTGATATTAAATATTTTTTTTATTAATTAGGATGGGGAGGTTTGAGGGTCAACTTTTAAAATTCAAATGGGAACCTATATTTTTTAAATATGATTCGTGCACAGTTTAATTTTTAATGAATTTTGACGGTTCATTTACATTTATGTGATAATAATTGAAGGAGCTATCGACATCTGAATATTGGTGTTAATTTATAAAATGTCAACAGTGAATAATACTAAAAGTGCTTCCGTTGTACGACCTTATAATAATCCGGGTATCGAATTATCAATTTATTACAGTATACAGTAGTCAGTTCAAAGTACTACAGTATACCGTTTGATACTCAGATATAATCTAAGGTTTGATATTATAACTATCATATAATTTTATCAATGATAAATGATATTATATTTTATAACCTTACTAGCCCTCCGGTCTAGCCGGGGGAGACCCCCGGACCCCCCAGTGTTTGTTTGTAAGTGAGTACCGATTTCGGAGACAATGTTGTTGGAATTATAAAAATCACAAGGGTTGTAAGTCAAAAGTTTAGGATTAGTGATATGGATTGGAGATAAGGCTTGGCGCATTGGCAGGAATATTTAAAAGTTTGATCGTCTAGCAATCCGTCACAAACATTGTAAATAGATACGATCTCCAGGATCTCTAGTCAGCTGCTTTTGGTTGTTGAAATTATTAAAAATTGTAGTATCGATATGTGTATTTGATTGTCTAGCTATCAGTCATCAAATCACATAGGTAGGCAATCCGACTGCGTCGGATCGCTTACAATATGT